CTCTCATCCACGCCCCCCGCCTCTCCTCCACGCCCCGCCTCTCCTCCACGCCCCGCCTCTCCTTCTTCGTTACTCATGTTTCTCTTGCAATGCTTTCACACCCTCTGGACTCTACTGTCCCTATATGTCTGTGTCTGTGGGCTCCAGTGCACCGTGAGCACATCACAGGCAGATTGTGTGGGGTATCTCTTTATCCTCAGTGCCCGTGTTGTTTCCTCCATGAGTGAACACCTTTGAATGAATGAACTAGAAAGGATTACCCATGGGACAGGCACTATTGTTCTAAGTTCGTATTTTAATACATTTCAGCCTCAGAACACCTCTCTGATGTATGCACAATTATTTGTAAAATGAGGAAGTGGAGGTTCATAGATGTTTAGTAAGGTCACACAAGGTCACAGAGCTCATAAGGGGCAGAGCCAAGATTTGGCCACAGGCAGTTAGGCCCCAGTTCTGAACCACTGCCCCTCACCCTCTCAGAGAGTGTAGAGTTCACCTAGGAACCTGCCAGGGGTGAAGAGGAAGGAACGAGACTGCTGAGGCCAAAGCCCTACAATGCCCCGCTCCCTTCTCTGCCCTCACCTGTTGTTGAGAGCCAAGGGCTTTTGCTTGTCAGCTGTTCCCATCTTTGGTTGCAGGAAGAAGCTGGCAGCGATCCACACCTGCAGGACCATGAGGCCCAGGACGATGGATATGGTGAGGCTGAAACACAAGGTGAGACCATCCTGAGGTGGCCCTGTCCACTCTTCCCAAGCCCATCTCGAATGCCCCTTGATAGAGAGAAGAGAGATGCTGACTGCCCGCCAGACCAACAGTAGCTTGAGCTCTGCCCTTTATGCCTACAGAGCATTCTCCTGCCCACTGTGCAGATGAGAAAACTGAGGCTCACAAAGGGCAGATGACTTTCTCAAAGCTGCATCATCAGGTCTTCTGGCTCCAGACCAGAACTCCAGGATTTAATTATGTCTTTTTGTTGAGGGGTGGCAGCTGGGCTGAGTGGTTTAACAGCATAGGAATCAAAGAAAGGATGGGGTTTTTAGAAGAGCTCATGAAGGCCACGGGAGAGTGGACAGGGCAGGCTCTGCCCCAGACTCACAGGAGGCTCTAGGTGAGTTTGGAACAAAGGAGCTCAGAGCAGGGAGGTCCCCAGAGGGCATCACACCCTGTGTTTGCATTCTCCGAGTGGCAATGTGGGGTGGTGGTTTAAAGAGGCTTTGGTTTCAGATTGCCCAGCTCCCAGTCCTGCCTCCTCCCCTGGGACAAACTGCTCAGCCTCTCTGTGCCTCTGTTTCCTCATCTGAAAAAAGGGAGCTAATGTAAGTCTCTTAAGAGTTCTTAAGAGGAAAGATGTGTAGTGAATTCTCAATAATGTCAGCATTCACTTTTACTTTCCATATGGGTAAACTGAGGCTCAGAGAGGCACTTACAAGCCACACATCTTATCTAAAACCCAAGCTCAGATTTCCTCTCTCCTTCCACTATACTGTCCTTTCTCTCACTTCACCTCCATGAACCTCAATCTTCCCATCTATAAAATGGACACATATATATCTCCCACAGACACAATTGTGAGGACACCATTGAACAGTGAGAGTGGAAACATTTTGTAAACTGTGAGGTTCCCATCACAATGAGTTGCTATTTTAGCCCATCCTTGGGTCAGAGCTGAAAGCATGGGTCTAGGGATTGGTGAGAGCCCAGCAGGGAAGGGGTATTTCAAACAGCAGCTGTGAAGACCCACCAGCTCCCAGGCCCTGGGCAGTGACAAGAAGCCCACCCAGCACTTACATCCCGATGCCCAGTCCTCGGAGCATTTCCAGGGTCTGATTGTGGATGACAGGTAGCACCAGGCTGTACATGATCACTAGGCCACACAGGCTTTGCATCACGTGGATGATGAGGTAGCCTGTGGGCCAAGGGAGCCGGTGGTCACTCAAGGCCCTTCAGGATCCAGTCACACAGGTCCCTCCCTGCAGTCTTCCCTCTAGCCTCCTCCCAAACAAAGGTCCTGGCACTCTTACTTGCACTGTTTCTTCTGCCTGGCATGACCGCTGACCTTCTGCTCACCCTGCCAGGTGCAGTTCAAACATCAACTCCACTAGAAAGGCTTCTTGCCCTGTCCTGGGTGTGGACAGTCACTTCCTCCTCTGGGTCACCACCGCCCTTAGCATATACACCCCGTGGGCACAGGACAGGTGGTGATGATGACCTACACGAATGTGTGCTTCTCACTCCTTCCGGAAGGTCCCACAAGGAAGAGCTGGGGCCACTTATGCCCTACGTCTCTCCTCCCTAGCCACAGCCAGGACTCTGCAGGTGCCCAGGGAATGTGTACTGAATTGAATGGGTCATGTGAGGGCACTTACCCCACAGAATATAAGCTATCTGCCAGCCAGAGTACCTTGCAATGGCCACCTGAGATTTAGAAAGAAAAAAGGGTCTTAGAGGGGAGACATGCTGATTACCTCTAACACGTGTCCAGCATCCTTGTCTCATGTGAGGGTCACCCACCAACCCACCAAGGCAGGTGTCATGATTGTCCTCATTTTACAGATGAGGAAACTGAGGGCTGGATGGGGACAGTGGCTGTCCCGAGTCACCCAGCAGCAGAACATACTAGAATTGAGGACTCTGGACCCCCAGCCCAGAGCTCTTCCTCCCCCCGCTACCCCCGTCTGAGGTGCAGGAGAGCAGGTTTTGGCCTCGGAGCAGAGAGAGGCCTCTGTAGACTTACCACACTCTCTGACGAGGAAGGATTATGGAACTTCAAAGGAAGAAAGTGTTTATCTCCTGCCCACAACCTCTTCATTTGCTTTCTAAAGAAAAAGTGGGAGTTAGTAATGCTCATGACCAGGGCTTAAAAATCATTTTCTAATACTTTTTTTGAAATTGAGATATAATTGACATATAACACGATATTATTTCAGGTGTACAATATAATAATTCGATATTTGTATATATTGTGAAATGATCACAGTAAGTCTTGTTAATATCTATCACTGCACACAGTTACAAAAATTTTTTTCTTGTGATGAGAACTTTTAATCTACTCTCTTAGAAACTTTCAAATATTCACTATTTTTTAACTATAGTCACCATGCTGTACATTACATCCCTATGACTTATTTATTTTATAACTGAAAGTTTGTGCTTTTTGATGCCATTCACCCATTTCACTCCCCCCACCCCACCTCTGGTAACCACCAATCTGTTCTATGAGTTTAGTTTTAGTTTTGTTTTGTTTAGAGTCCATATATGAGTGAAATCATATGGTATTTGTCTTTCTCCATCTGACTTATTTCACTTAGCATAATGTCCTCAAGGTCATAAATGCTGTCACAAATGACAAGATTTCATTCTTTTTTATGGCTGAGTAGTATTCTGGTGTGTGTGTGTGTGTGTGTGTGTGTGTGTGTGTGTGTGTATTCCACATCTTCTTTACCCATTCACCCATCCATGGACACTTAGGTTGCTTCCATATCTTGGCTATTGTAAATAATGCTGCAAAGAACACTGGGGTGCATGTATCTTTTTAAATTACTGTTTCCACTTTTTTGGATATATGCCCAGGAGTGGGATTGCTGGATCATATGGTAGCTCTATTTTTAATTTTTTGAGGAGCCCCCATACTATTTTCATAGTGGCTGTACCAATTTACCTTCCCACCAACAGTGTAGGAGGGTTCCCTTTTCTCCACATCCTTGTCAACACTTATCTCTTGTCTTTTTGGTAATAGCCATTCTGAAAGATGTGAGGTGACATCTCACTGTGGTTTTGATTTGCATTTTCCTGATGATTTAGAAATCTTAAACTTAATATATTTTGTAAAAATAGCATATAGCTACCTAATCTCAATGGTGACTGAATGTGATAGTTGAGACTGTGTGTGTGGCTTTTAGTTTCTTTAGCTTGCTCTATTTTCTTATTTTCTCTACAATGAATATACATTACCTATATAATATTATTTCAAAACAGGTAAAAAAATTTTAACGATAGCCCCCCACTTATAACAACATAAAATGAAATGAAAAAGAAGCCACAATTCGTCACAATCCCAGCACCCAAAGAAATCACTGTGTGCCCGTCTCAACCTGGCCCTTTGCCTAAAGATTAGGTTGGCATAGTTTTGTTCAAAGTCCACATTCACATCTATATCCTCCTTTTTTCTTAACATCCCATTCCAGCAATTTCCAGGTTATTTTGCAATTTCATCCCCACTGAACTGGGAAGACTTAGTATGAAATAAAGAATGTAAGTATCTCATTAATAGTTTGCATATTTATTACATAATGAAATGATATTTGAGTTATGCTGGGTTAAATAACATATATTATTAAATTATTTTCACCAGTCCTTTAACTTTTTTAAATAGTGTCTATTAGAAAATGTAAAATTTTATCTGTTGCTTTCATTGTGTTTCTGTTTGGCAGTACCCGAGTAGGATGTGCAACCAGGAATACAAACATGCACAGATATATTTGCAGAGAAAATTTCTGGAAGGATGCAAAGAAAATGAATAATAGTGCTTAGCTCTTGGGCAACAATTTGGGGCCTGATGGGAAGAAGACTTACTTTACACTAAATATTTTTGTAACTTTGTTTTTAAAACACAAGCCTGTAGATAGGTTGGCATAATTATAAGAAAAATAACAATACTGGCACAGTGCTAGTGCTGTCCAAAGGGTGCCTTCTCATCCATTATTTCCTCTGCCCCATGGTCCTGTAAAGGAGGCAGGGCAGGGATTGTCACTCCTGGGTGACAGGTGTGGGAGGGAAGGGCCAGCCTGGACGGGAAGGAGGCCTCCCCACCACAGGTGCCTTCTTGTCCCTGTGCCCTCAGCTACCCTCCACCCACATCCATGAAGCGAGCTCTGCATTGTGGTTGTTCCTGGTTGTGGTCAAATGCCTCAGTGAATATCTCCCAGCCACCTGTAGGCTAATGAAGGAAGGAGCAGACATATCCCTACAACAGGCAGGGAAAGGGTAAGCAGCAGTGTCCAGTCCACCCACAGAGCCCAGGGAGAAGAAAGCAGAGACAGGGAGCAAGCCAGGGCTGGGATGGAGAGCTGGGGCTCTTTGTGCCAGGAGAGTCTTCACTTAGATGTCATCTGCAAGAGACCCAACCTTTGGGTAGCCAGATGGGGAGGATGCAAAAGCAGGATGCACTGCAGGGGTGGGAACTGGCCCTGGGCTTCCTGTGAGTGAGTGGGTGACTGTGAACTAGAGACTGAGACACACAGAGAGAGAGAGAGAGAGAGAGAGAGAGAGAGAGAGAGAGAAAGAGAGGCAGAGACAAAGGCAGAGAAATGGAGAGAAAAGGGAGCAATAGATACCTAAATTCAACTTCCGTCTGCATGCAAATGCCAGCTACCTACTGAAGGCCATCCCCTCCTCCTGTGCTGCTGTTCTAGAGACTGATGCCCCTGGTTCCCTTGTCCCAACCTCCTGTGAGGTCCCCTTGAGCCAGATTCACCTGATGGGAGTGCAGTGTGATTAGTTCTGGAGAGCAGGGCGGGTCTAACACCTAGTAGCAATGCAGAAGTGTACAAGAAATGACAAGGTCAGAAGGGGCCAGAGACAAGATCAGCTGCTAATAGCCTGGCTAGAGTTATTGTGTTGAGTCTCGCCTGCTCAGCAGTGAACATGGAGATGAAAGTACCGCTTAGGGTTTTGCTGAAAACCAAAAGAAGACTCTAATCACAATGTCAAGCTTACAGTGGGAGCTCAAATCGATAGTTTTTTGTTTGTTTTTGTCTTTTACTACCAATAGGTATGGCTGTCCCTAGACCCTATATATACTGCTGTTCCCAATTTGGGCACTGCTGGCACTGCTTGGGAATTCTGAGAAAAGTCTGTCACATGCTTTCCTGGCTGAAGACCCACAAATGACTCCTAGGACCCTCTTACCTGTAACAAGCCAAGATGTGAAACAGGTAGCTCACACACGTGAGGGAGGCAGGCAAGATGGTCACCACCCAGACTCCTGAAACAGAAAAGGTGATACAAGAGGCCTCAGAAGATGAACCAGAAACTATTTTTAAAATGCAGAGGGAATTCCCTGATGGTACAGTGGTTAGGACTCCGCACTCCTCACTGCTGAGGGCCTGGGTTCAATCCCTGGTCGGAGAACTAAAATGCAGAAACTCACAACAGAAAGGTTTGGGCAAAATATACTGCACTTCCTTTAACACACCTCTTGTGCAAATAACGTTTTGCTTATTTTCTGTTTCATTTTAGCCATACACCCTCGATATCCTTTATTTCCTGCGTATTTATAATCTTTTCCTTTGGTATTAATATTTCCAATCTATAGTGAGTAATAGAAAAAGAAAATTATGGAGCGTACACATTGTAGGTAGCCTCCAGCCTAGTAAAACATCATTAATTCTTGAACTTCCAATCTCTGCTTTTTGTGGGGTGGTTACCCACCCCCAATAAACAGTCACCTTGTGCAACGGTAACTGGAATCAGGGTCTTGACTATTCATTCATCCATCTTTCAGTATGTTTTTAATATTTCGTACCTAATTTGCTTTCAGAATGATTCTGTGTGCTTGTGAGAGAGGGATGAAGACAGAGGGAAGGAAGTAAAAGCTTCTGTATAAGCCGACTCTCAATAGGTACAGAAAAGGCATTCGAAAGAATCCAACACCTCTTTATAACTCAAATCACTCCATAGACTAGAAATAGAAGGGAATTTCCTCAATTGGATAAAAAGCATCTGCAAAAAACCCACAGCTAACATCATACTTAATTGGTGAAAAACAGACTGCTTTCCCCATGAGTTCAAGAATAAGAAAATCAATGTCTGCTCTTGCCAATTCTATCCAACATTGTACTGGAGGGTCTAGCCAGGGCAGTTAGGCAAGAAAATGCATCCAGACTGCAAGGGAAGAAATAAAACTATCTCTATTCACCAACAACATGTTCCTATATATAGATAATCCTAAGGAATAAATACACAAACAAAGTAAAATGAATTAATAAATGAGTTCAGCAAGGTTGTAAGACACAAGACCAATATATAAAAGTCAATTGTATTGCTATACACTACCAACAAATAATATGAAAATGAAGTAAGAAACAACTGCATTTGCAATAGTATCATAAAGAGTAAAATACTTAAGAATAAATTTAGTAAAAGAAGTATACAACTTGTACACTTAAAACTACAAAAGCAGGGCCTTCCCTGGTGGCGCAGTGGTTGAGAGTCTGCCTGCCGATGCAGGGGACACGGGTTCATGCCCCGGTCCGGGAAGATCCCACATGCCGCAGAGCGGCTGGGCCCGTGAGCCATGGCCGCTGAGCCTGCACGTCCGGAGCCTGTGCTCCGCAACGGGAGAGGCCACAACAGTGAGAGGCCCGCGTACCACAAGGTTGTTCTTTGTGAACATGGCAATACTCCCTAAATTGATCTACAGATTCAAATCCCTGTCAAAATTCCAATGTCATTTTTGGATAAATTGACAAGCTAATCCTAAAATTCATATAAAAATGAAGCGACCCTGAATAGGCTATATAACCTTGAAAAAGAAGAACAAAATTACAGGACTCACGTTTCTTGAGCTACAGTAATAAGACAGTGTGATATTGCCATAAAGATAGACAAATAGACCAATGGAATAAATTGAGAATCCAGAAGTAAACCCCCATTGTCAATGTATTTTCAACAAGGATGACAAGACAATTCAATGGGGAAGGAATATGCCTATTAACAAATAGTGCAGGGGAAACTGATATTCCCATGTAAAACAATGAAGTTAGAACCTTACCTCATACCGTATACAAAAATTAAATCAAAATGGATCATATACTCAATGTAACAGCTAAAATGATAAAAGTCTCAGAAGAAAATATGAGAGTAAATCTTTGTGACCTTGGGTTAAACAATGGTTTCTTAAACATGCACAAGTGATAAAAGAAAACAAGATATATTAGACTGCATTAGAATTAAAAGCATTTGTGTTTCAAAGGACACCATCAAAAAAGTGAAAAAGCAACCCACAGAATGGAAGAAATTATTTGTAAATTATATCTCTTGTAAGGGATGTGTATATAGAATATACAAAGAACTCTTACAGCTCAATAATAGACAAATAATCCAATTTTAAAGTGGGCAAAGAATCTCAGTAGTCATTACTCAAAGAAGATGTACAAATGGTCAATAAGTACATGAAAAGATGCTCAACATCATCAGCCATCAGGGAAATGAAAATCAAAACCGCAACGCAGGGCTTCCCTGGTGGCACAGTGGTTGAGAGTCTGCCTGCCGATGCAGGGGAAGTGGGTTCGTGTCCCGGTTCGGGAGGATCCCACATGCCGCAGAGCAGCTGGGCCCGTGAGCCATGTCCGCTGAGCCTGCGCATCCAGAGCCTGTGCTCCACAACGGGAGAGGCCACAGCAGTGGGAGGCCCGCGTACCGCAAAAAAAAAAACAAACCGCAATGCACCGCCGATGTTCATAGCAGCACTATTTACAATAGCCAAGACATGGAAGCAACGTAAGTGTCCAATAACAGATGAATGGATAAAGAAGATGTGGTATATACATACAATGGAATATTACTTAGCCATAAAAAATAATGAAATAATGCCATTTGCAGCAACATGGATGGACCTAGAGATTATCATACTAAGTGAAGTAAGTCAGAGAAAAACAAATATAACATGATATCACTTATATGTGGAATCTAAAAAAATGATACAAATGAACTTATTTACAAAACAGGAACAGAATCATAGACATAGAAAACAAACTATGGTTACCAAAGGTGGGGGGGAGGAAGAGGGATAAATTATGAATTTGGGATTAACAGATACACACTTACTATATATAAGATAGATAAAAAGACAAGGGCCTACAGTACAGCACAGGGAACCATAATCAATATCTTGTAATAACTTATAATGGAAAAGAATCTGGAAAATAATATATGTGTGTGTGTGTATATATATGTATATATATCTGAATCACTTTGCTGTATACCTGAAACATTATAAGTCAATTATACTTCAATTTAAAAAAAATACAATGCGATACCACTTCATACTTACTAGATGGCTATAATAAAAAATAAAGATATTATCAAATGTTGATGAAGATATAGAAGCTGTACCCCTCATACATTGGTGATGGCAATTAATAGTGATGAAGCTGCTTTTGAAAACGGTCTGGCAATTCCCCCAAAAGCTTAAACATAATTACCACATGATCCAGAATTCCACTCCTAAGTATATACCCAAGATATATAAAAATATATGAAAAACTTGTAGATGAATGTTCACAGCAGTATTATTCATAATAACCAAAAGTTGAAACAACCCAAATTTGCGTCAACAGACAAATATATAAATACCATATTGTATATTCATACAACAGAATAAAATTCAGCAATAAAAAAGAATGAAGCTGAGACACATGCTATGATATAGATGAACCTTATAAATATCTTGCTATGTGAAAGAAGCCAATCAAAAAAGAACACGTATTGTATGATTCTATTTATATAAAATGTCCAGAATAGGCAAATCTATAGAGCCAGAAAATAGTGGCCTGGGAGAGTTGAGAAATGGGGAGTGACTGAAAGTGGTCATGATTTCTTTTAGGGGTGATGAAAATGTTCTAAATTTTTTTTTTTTTTTGCGGTACGCAGGCCTCTCACTGTCGTGGCCTCTCCCATTGCGGAGCGCAGGCTCCAGACGCACAGGCTCAGCGGCCACGGCTCACGGGCCCAGCCGCTCCGCGGCACGTGGGATCTTCCCGGGCCGGGGCATGAACCTGTGTCCCCTGCATCGGCAGGCGGACTCTCAACCACTGCGCCACCAGGGAAGCCCGAAAATGTTCTAAATTTGACTGTGGTGATGGGTGCATAAATTTCAAAATACTAAAAACCACTGAATTGTACACTTTAAATGAGTGAATTGTATGGTATATGAGTTATATCTTCATAAAGCTGTTTTTAAAAAGAAGGAGAAAGAAAGCTGATTTCCATTCCTTTCAAGTTTCAGATGTGTCTTTATCAGCATCACCAGGACTAGGCAATTGCTCTATCCCAAACTTCCACCAACACAAAGGATGTGGATAAATCACCATAAATCTCACCCCAGGGGATGCAGGGGACACATCCTTGGAAGGAGAGGATGGAAGGAGTCTGGCCACAAGAAGAGTGAGTGCAGACTTTTTCCAGCCAGCAGCAAGAACATGACCGCACACCTTTAATTTAATGCCTTTATCATCTCAAAGGTGAAGCATGTTCAGCCTAAGAGTCTCTCTTGGAAAGAGGGTAGCTGTTTAAAGCTGGAAGAGATTGAGACAGAGTGAAAATGTTATATACTGATTCTTAAAGTGTCTAAACGTGAGAAATATATCAAAGAGGAGATAAAACATGAGTGAATATGGTGATATACTCACTACAATTCACCCAGACCAAGTAACTGAGGTTAGCATTAAAAAGTTGCCCAAAACGGGTAGAAATGTGAATTTTCAGAAGTATGACTTAAAACAAGTATTATTAAATCAAACATTAGAATATGCTCGCTGAGTGTATAGGAAGGGACTCATCAGGCAGAACATTAAAGATGAGTAAACGTGTTCAAGGGCAACAAAAAAGTATGATAATATGGAAGAAGCAGTACCCACCTTAGTGTAACCTTCTATGTCATGTATGTATAAGAGAATTTTCCTCAAATAATTCACAGTAGATCTATTCCCCTCTGGTTTTGATATTCTACTAGCTTGTGAGTCTTAAGTGAAAATATTATTTGCATCACCTGTTTCGTGGCTTAAGGAACATATGGTAATTTACAGCCATTAAATGTCAGAGCTACAAAGGCTTTTGGAAACCATTTGGTACCCTCATCCCAGTCCCATTTTAAAGATGAGGAAACTGAGGCCAAGAGGAGGGACCTGACTTGTCCAATGACAGAGTTTATCCTGACATCTTGTCCAGGTCCTTTCTCAACAAGGAACAGTGAAGAACTTTCCTTCCTTCATGGGCAATGGACACATAATTAGAGTATGTCATTTTCAAAGAAAGTTACTATTTTAAGGTAAAGTGACTGTTATGGACAGAATGTGTGTGTCTCCCACCCCCCACAAAATTCATGTGTTGAAACCCTAATCCCCAATGTGATGGTATTTGGAAATGGAGCCTTTGGGAGGTGATTAGATCATGAGGGTGGAGCCCTCATGATGGAATTAGTGCCCTATAAGAAGATACATGAGAGAGTTTGCTTCCTCTCCCTGTTCTCCATCCAGTATGTGAGGACACAAAGAGAGGGCGGCCTTCTGCAAGTCAGGAAACAGACCCTCCCCAGACACCAGGTCTGCTAGCACCTTCAACTTCCCAGTCTCCAGAACTCTGAGAAATAAATGTCTGTTTTTATACCACACAGTCTATGGTAATTTGTTATAGCAACCTGAACTAAGCAGAAATTAAATTTGAATGATATAAGTAAACTTTCCATATAATAATAAAGTCATGGGCCACTGTTTTATCTTTTCCAAAGTGAAAAAAATATGATGATTTTAGTTGTTTCCACTGGCATCAAACAAAATAGGCTATTTGAGATTAGAAAATTATCAGGGCATGTTCAATTCAGCCCCAAATAGGTTCTAATAAAATGGCCTGTGTCCTGACCCCTTTTTCCTTTGAGTCAACCCAGGGAGGCATAGAGCAATTGTAACACAGGTAATATCAAGACCAGCAGCAATAATCACTATAGGTGTGCACCTGCCACAAGTCACAAGTCCCTCTCTGTTTCCTACACAGGCAGCAGGAACAAAGGTGGAGGATGGTTTTACCTTTGGTGACGTTAATCAGCTCTTTCACCTGCAGGAGGACTGGGGTCAGGGTACCCGTCTGGTTCATGGAGGCGATGTAGCTCTCCAATTCGCCTTCAAACACATCCAGCTCATCTCTCACATACACGAACATGCAGAACTCAATGACAATGAACTGGCGACACAGAGCAAATATTTCAAGGTTTCAACTGAGTCCAGCTCAGTATATGAATAACATATGGGTCTCTCTTTAGTTTTGAGGTCAAAACTCTCTGAAGCTCAAAACTCATCTGCAATAGACTCTGGACACTTGCTCTACTGAGATGAATGGGATTGTGACTTCTTTGGAGACAGGAGTCACCCCAAACTCTGTTCTTCACACAACAGCATATAAGAGTAGGCACCACAAGGGCTCAAAGAACTCTTCAAACATTAATTAAATCAGAGTGAAATAATTAAAACAGAGTGGACTTTGAATAAGGGGTGACCCTGGGGACAATTCCAAACACTTCTCACTGTTCCCCTTCTTGTATCTTGGCAATGACCAAATTGGAGGAGGTGCTGTTTCCTGTATGCATGTCATGCTTGCTCCCCTCCTATCATCCTGTCATCCTGCCCTCATGCCCCCATCATCATGCCATTGCTTCTAGAGTCCCTGACGCCATTTTACTTCATCAACCAAACTGAATGTGGAGCTCAAATGCTACTATTTTCAGGCAGGTTCTCAATCCAGAGTAATTCACTAAATTTCCAAAGCACTTTTACCTTTTCTTTTTCTCTAGTTAGATGGCAATACTTCACACCGCATTTTATCTTCTTGTCTTAGACCATGGGCTACTCCCAGGCCAAGACTCTGCTGAATCAGCTCTCTTCTCTCTTCCAGGTCTTAGTATAGTGTTTGGCATACAGCAGACAACCAATAATGATTTAATAAACACAATAACCCCGAGTGATTTACCCACTGCTGCAGAGAACTCTAGCTAGTTGTCCATTAAAATCTCTTCTCCCCTCTTTTGGGCGCAGGCTGGACTACATTTGCCAGCCTCCCTTGAGTTAGACGTGGGTAAATAACAAGGCTCTTGTCAATGGAAAAAGAGTGGAAGGCATGTGTGCTGGGTCCACATGGCCTTTGAAAACCTCTCACAGGCATTTCGCCGCCTGCTTTCTCCTTCTGCTGACTGGATGCAGGTGGTGAGGGTGCTCAGGGATGATGAAGGCACACGATGGAGAAACCAGTTATGGAACAAACACGTGGAAGACTGCTACCTCCCAAACCTCAACACTCACTCAACACTGTTAGGTGGGCAAAAATATCTTCAGTGTTGTCGCTGAAATTTGTGGGTTTATGTGGTACTTCATCATAACCTAATACATTCACTTAAAACTTAATCACAAGGGGCTTCCCTGGTGGCGCAGTGGTTGAGAGTCCGCCTGCCGATGCAGGGGACACGGGTTCGTGCCCCGGTCCCGGAGGATCCCGCGTGCCGCGGAGCGGCTGGGCCCGTGAGCCATGGCCGCTGGGCCTGCGCGTCCGGAGCCTGTGCTCCGCAACGGGAGAGGCCACAGCGGTGAGAAACCCGAAAACTTAATCACAGGATTAGTTTATATAGGTATCATCCTAGTACATTTAAAACGAGCAGAAGACAATTTGGCCATTTTTATCCCGCCATTTGACCCTGCTTTTGACTCAGACATTTTATCTCAGATAACAATGACCACGTGAAATGCTTTGATTCTGTACTTTATTGACTTCCTGTTTTCAATTTCATAGGTTTCTGCTCTAATTTTTATTACGTCTATTCTTCTGCTTACTTTGCATTTTAATTTGCTCTTTTTTGTTTGTTCGTTTCCTAAGGTGAAAGTTTAGACGATTGATTTAAGATCTTTCTTCAGGTCTAATATGTACATTCAATGCTATAAATTTCCCTCTAAGCACTGCTTTTGCTGCCTCCCACGAATTTTGATAAGTTGTGTTTTCATTTTCATCTGTTCAAAATATTTTAAATTTCCCTTTATGTTTTTCTTTGGCTCATATGTTACTTAAAAGTGTGTTGTTTTCATACCTACTACTTGCAGATTCTCCGTTATCTTTTTGTTACTGATTTTTAGTTTAATTCCACTTTGATCTGAGAGCAGACATTGTATGATTTCTATTCTTTTAAATTTATTAAGACATGTTTTATGGTCCAGGATATAGTCTATCTTGTTGAATTTTCCATTTACTCTTGAGAAGAATGTGGATTCTGCTGTTGTTGATGAAGTACTCTTTGGATTTCCAAAATATCCAATTGATTGATGGCATCAATTACAGTTCAGATTTTCCTACCTTGGCACTGGTTGCCATGGGGTTTCTGCTCCATTCTGTGATGATCGTGTCTCTTCAGTTTTAGGGGTAAAGGTTTGCTCCATGACCTCACTGCTCTTAGGGATCTAAGAAGAGTTGTTGATTCTTCAATTTGTTCAGATTTGTATTTGTTGTTAAGATAGAGTGGCATCTTGCAAGCTCTTTACATGTGGAATTGGCAACTGGAAGTCTCTGTAAATAACTCGATTATATTTATTAGTAATATTCACCACATGAGCAAAAGTGTCCTTGGAGTCAAAATGGTGGGGTCAAAGAATTGTACTTCTTTGATTTACAGATACTCAGTTTTGACCCAGCTTTTAAAGAACAACCCCTATCCTAGACCCACCCCATTTATAAAATAATAAAGGATTTGCTTAGATCTACTTACAAGGTACAGGCAGATGAAAGCCAACACAGTGGTTCCAATCATCCTGCTTGGGAACTGAAAGTAGGGGTCCCACTCATATATCCTGGTTTGGAACCAAGACTTTTCTCTCTCTCTGTGAATGAATAAACATCAAGAGAAGACAGGTTGTGGCTGGTAAACAAATGCCTGATTCTTCTGAAAATAATATCATCTCCTCTTCTTCACCTTAGAGTATAGTGAAGACAAAGAGCACTGGTAGATTCCACAGTTTTCATTCTCCCCTTATCCTTAAGAACAAAGACTCAGTTTTATTCAGTACAGCAATCTACCAAATTAAAAGCTATAGTTCCCGACCTCTCTTACAGCGAAGAGTGACCAAGACTAAACAAGCCAATTAGACGTGACCAGAGATGTGGTGTGGGACTTTGGGGAGGCTGGTCAGGTGGAACTGACACAGCTGGGAGGATTCCCTTTGACTTCATTCTTTTCTCCTGCCTGCCATCTGAAGGGCAGACATGGTGGCTGGCCCAGGCTGGAGCCCCAGCATCTATCTTGGGCCACAGACAGCCTTCATGATGGAAACCACTACGTTACTGGAACAGAAAGACAGACAATGGGTAAACTGCGTGGTGGGCAGTCCAGGGTTAGTATGGACTGCCTGCCTCCAGAATTCTTTTACATGAGAAAGAAAGAAATCTCTCTTTTATTTGTACCATGATGATTTTGCATTTTCTGCTATATGTAGCCAATGTAACTCTAACCAAAGAACTGGTTTTGCCACTATGACCTTGGATTAGACATATCCCTTCTCTGGGAATATACCCTTGTGCACAGTGGCAGTGGCAGGGGTTAGGGTGACTTGAATGGTCACTGAAGACCAGGTGTTCTTGCCTCGCCAAGAGCTATGTCCTCTTTTATTGGTAACAATATCTTAGTTTTTCTCTGGAAATCTACTCTTCCCCACCATCAGTCCTGGTGGTTAAGTGAGGCTGAACCACTTCCTAGTTCCCATGGTGAACATGTGACCCTGGTTTAACAATCAGTTTACTCCAATCACCTACTCACAGTAATTGGTTCTGGGATGCCATGTGGTCCAACTTAATCCAATGAAACACATTTGTGGGAATTTTGTTTGAATTTTTTGAAAGAAAACATTCTCTTCTCTATGAGCTTAAGACAGGGGGGTATAAGCTTAGAGATTCTGGGGCCCACCATGGGGAGGAAGCCTACCTAACTAAGAGTTTAACATCGGTAAAAGCAGAGCTGAGAGATGAGGGAAAGAGACCTAGTTCTGATTATATCAATCAAACCCCTGGATCCATCTGTGTCTGAAAACTGGCGACCTCTAGGCTTTTTAATTATGTAAGGCCATAACTTTCCTATTTCTCTTTAATCCCATTTGAGTTGAGTTTCTGTTATTAGCAAACAAGCGTCCTAAAACAGCGCTCTTCCAGTCATCTCCAGGTCTCTGACACTGTCAGGGCTCATCAATATTGGTGCAAACACCGAGGGGAGTGAACAAATATAACTGTGCTTACTGCAGGGGGCACTTCCTCAGGAGCTGTTTGACGTGCTCTGCCTGGTGAACTTCCAGGAAAGGCTTTTCTTCCTGTGAGAAAAGAGAGAGGTTGATGTTTTGGCTCACAAAGTCTTGTTAGGGCTTTGGTCTCTTTGAGGGGCTATTTCCATAGAGGCCAGGATTTTCGGTAAAACTGGCCATTCCCAGACACCTGTCATTTATTGAAGAGACTGTAGGGTCCCGTCTCCTGTTTCCCAAGCACTTCTTTCATGAAATGCCAGAGGCCTGACCTTCCTTGACTCTTCTGCTTACTGCTTTACACCAGCCTTTGTTTTGTGAAGTTGATTTTTCCCTTTGAGATTCGGTGATTTCTCATCATAGTTCAAAACACTGTTCCAGAAATGAAACACCCAAAATCCCAGTGTTTTTATTTTTTATGAAAAGGAATTTCTCTTGCTCATTTCTTATTTTGAAATGAACCTTAATAGTATGTTTTGAAATGTTTTCGCCAAGTGTAATGAGCTTTCCACAATAGTCATCTGTTTTGCCAATATATTGAATATGTAACTTTTACACACTGTGAGATGAAATCTTATATATTGCAGATGTTGTGCAGAGTAAAAAAGACCTGGTTATAATTCTGACTCATAAGTGACATCAGCAAGCTGGAGGAACAGGAGGTTCCACTTCCCATATGCCCTCAGATACACCAATTTTGACAACCACCCACAGGTGAGAGTAACTTTGTGGGGGCCCAGGTATCTACCTTGGAGGTTACAGCACTCTAGTTAAGCAAAAACTCCAAGAATAGATGCATTAAAGAGGAAAAGGAGAACAGTTTCATTTTACCAACATCACTCCTCCTCCAAAGTAGTATAGCTCAGGGCATAGAGAGAAGGCCCTCTTAGCTTGTAATTTCTCCTATGAGGGAAAATAAAAGTGAAGTGAGAGCCCAGCTTCCCCAGTCTTGGGGGACACTGCCCAACAGATCCATTCCTATCTCACACCACCCAGAACACTGAGGGGATCAGCATGGCAGAATAGTCTGGGGAAAGCTAAGAGCGGGGAAATGGGGCAGGGGGTCAATGGGGTGGGGGAGTCCTTCTGGAGTCCTAGAAGGAACAGAGAAAGAGAAAAGGGCAGAAAGCTATATAAAGAAATAATGGGGGGACTTCCCTGGTAGTCCAGTGGTAAAGAATCCACCTTCCAATGCAGGGAATGCAGGTTCGATCCCTGGTCGGGGAACTAAGATCCCACATGCTGCGGTGCAACTAAGCCCACATGCCACAACTATTGAGCTTGTGTGCCTCAATGAGAGAGCCCACATGCCACAAACTACAGAGCCCACATGCCCTGGAGCCCACGCGCCACAACTACTGAGCCCACGTGTCCTGGAGCCTGCACACCACAACTAGAGAGAGAAAACCTGCACGTCACAACCAGAGAGATGCCTGCATGTCGCAACTAGAGAGAAACCCGAGCAGACCACACGCCATAATGAAAAGATCCTGCATGCCTCAACAGAGATCCTGTGTGCTGCAACTAAGACCTGACGCAGCCAAAAAAAATAAATAAGGAAAACAAATAAATAAAATAAATAAATATTTTTTTTAAAAAAGAGATAATGGGGACTTTCCTGGTGGTCCAGTGGCTAAGCCTCTGCGCTCCCAATGCAAGGGGCCTGGGTTCCATCCCTGGTCAGGGAACTAGATCCCACATGCCACAACTAAGACTTCACATGCCACAACTAAGGATTCTGCCTGCTGCAACTAAAAGATCCCACACGCCACAACTAAAGCCCCCGCAGGCTGCAACAAAGATCTCACATGCTGCAACTAAGATCCGGTGCAGCCAAAAAATAAATAAATTTTGGGGGGGAAAAAAGGAAAAAAAGAAATAATGGCAGAAAGTTTCCCTAATCTGGGGAGGAAAATGAACATCCAGATCCACAAAGCCTCAAATAGACTGAATATATAGAGGTGTTCACCAAGACACATTATAATCAAAATGTCAAAAGTCAATGACAAAGAGAGAATTTTGAAAGTACACATACAAGGGAACCCGTTTAAAGATATCACGGGATTTCTCGGCAGAATCCTTGCAGGTCAGGAGAAAGTGGGATGATATATTCAAACTGCAGAAAGAAAAAAACCTGCTAATCAAGAATACGACTCTTGCCAAAACTGTCCTTTTCCAGGCAAACAAAAACTGAGGGAATTTATTACCACTAGACCTGCCTACAAAAAATGTTAAAGTGAGCTCTTCAAGTTGAAATAAAATGATGCTAATTAGCAACACAAAAACATACGGAAGTATAAAAATCACTAGTAATGGTAAATATGTAGTCAAATTCAGAATACTCTAATACTGTAATGGTGCTGCATAAGTCACTTTTAATTCTAGTATAAAAGTTAAAAGACAAAAGTATTAAAAATAACTATAGCTACAATAATTTGTTAATGGTTGAACAGTATAAAAAGTAGTAAACTGTGACATAAATCACATAAAATGTTGGGGAGGAGAAGTAAAAGTACAGAGTTCTATGCAATTGAAGTTTAACTGTTATCAACTTAAAATAGACTATTATAACTATAAAATGTTTTATTTAAGCCTCATGTGATCACAAAGAAAAACACCTGTATTCTACACACAAAAGATAAAGGAATCAAAGCGTACCTCTACAAAAAAATCATCACATCACAAAGGAAGAAAGGAAGAAAGGAAGAAGGAATTATGAAACAGAAAACAATTAACAAAATGGCAATTTTAAGTCATTATCTATCAATAATCACTTTAAATGTAAACAGATTAAATTCTCCAATCAAAAGACACTGAGTGGCTAAGTGAATTTTTAAAAAAATTCCACATATAGATTATCTGCAAGAGACTCACTTTAGCCGTAAGGACACACATGGGCTGAAAGCAAAAGGATGGAAAAAGATATTTCATAAAAATGGTAACCAAAATAGAGCAGGGTCCGGGGGTGATACTTATGAGACAAAGTGGACTTTAAGTCAAAAACTATCACAAGAGACAAAGAAGGTCATTATATAATGATAAAGAGGTCAGTTCATCAAAATGATATAAAAATTGTAAACACATATACATACCTAATATCAGAGCACCTAAATATATAAAATATTAACAGAACTGAAGGAAGAAATAAACAGCAACATGATAACAGTAGAGGACTTCAACACCACACTTTCAACAATGGATAGATAATCCAGTCAGAAAATCAATAAGGAAACAGCTGACTAGAACAACACTATAGACCAAATGGACCAAACAGACATTTATAGAACATTCCATATAACAGCAGCAGAATACATATTCTCCTCAAGAACATTTTCCAGGATAGAACATATGTTTGGCCACAAAACAAGTCTTAAACATAAGAAGATTGAAATCATATCAGACATAATTTCTGACCACAAAAAGCTAGACGTTGGTAACAGGAGGAAAATTGGAAAATTCACAAACAATACACTCCTGAACAACCAATGGGTCAAAGAAAAAATCAAAAGGGAAACCAGAAATATCTTGAAGCAAATGAAAATAGAAATACAACATACAGGGCTTCCCTGGTGGCGCACTGGTTGAGAGTCCGCCTGCCGATGCGGGGGACGCGGGTTCGTGCCCCGGTCCGGGAGGCTCCCACGTGCCTCGGAGCGGCTGGGCCCGTGAGCCATGGCCGCTGAGCCTGCGCGTCCGCAGCTTGTGCTCCGCAACGGCAGAAGCCACAACAGTGAGTAAAAAAAAAAAAAAAAAAGAAATACAACATACAGAAATTTATGGGATACAGGAAAAGCAGTTCAGTTCTAAGAGGGCAGTGTATAGCAGTAAATGCCTATATTAAGAAAAAAAGAAAGATCTCATGCAAACAACCTAACTCTTTACTTTGAGGAACTAGAAAAAGAAGGACAATGGGTAAGAGAGAGCCTCAACAACCAAATTCTCTGGGTTCCAGGTCTGGCTCTGCTATAGACTAGCTATGTGACCTTGGGCAATGCAACTGACACCTCTGGGTCCAAGTTTCCTAATACAGAATGGCAGAAGTAATAATAGTACCTACCTCACAAGGCTATTGGGAAAACTTAACCTGTCAGGACACACACGGTGTTTTTACTTAGTACTCACCGTCTGGAGCTCCCAGCCCAGGTGGACCCTCAGAGACTTGACAAACATGTACAGGAAGCGGCCCAGAAGGAAGGCCAGGCAGAGCAGTGAGGGCCAGTAGAACACGACAGTCTCATACTTCCCCACAAACTGCAACAGAAGCAGACCATGAGGCGTGGGCTCTAGGTAGGGAAGGGCTAGGCCACTGGTGAGGCTGTGCACAGGAACCTGCCTGCCCCAGCCTGCTCCCACCAGGGCCCACTCTCTCAGAGCTTGGAGGTCAGCAGCCAATCCCCGCTCCCCCAGCCCCACACCATCAGAACAAGCAGTGGACTTGGAGTCCAGCAGCCCTGGACTCGAGTCTTAGCACCCCTATTTAATTTTATACAAAGGGCTTTCATGGCTTTTTTCTCATTAGGTATTAAATGTTACTTTTGGAAAATACTCACAAGAGAGAGGAGGGTGAGAGAGAGAAGTGGGGAGAGAGAGAAGAGGAAGGAGGAGGGAGGGGG